AAGGAATCAGACCATGAGAAACAAGATTCTCTGGTCTGATGAAACCAAGATTGAACTCTTTGGCCTGAATGCCAAGTGTCACATCTGGAGGAAACCTGGCACCATCCCTACGGTGAAGTATGGTGGAGGCATTATCATGCTGTGAGGATGTTTTTCAGTGGCAGGGACTGGGAGACTAGTCAGGATCGAGGGAAAGATGAACGGAGCAAAGTACAGAGCGATCCTTGATGAAAACCTGCTCCAGAGCTTCGGGATAAGTCTCTGAATGTCCTTGAGTGACCCAGCCAGAGCCCGGACTTGAACCCGATCGAACATCTCTGGAGAGACCTGAAAATAGCAGTGCAGCGACGCTCCCCATCCAACCTGCCAGAGCTTGAGAGGATCTGCAGAGAAGAATGGGAGAAACTTCCCAAATACAGGTGTGCCAAGCATGTAGCGTAATACCCAAGAAGACTCGAGGCCGTAATCGCTGCCAAAGGTGTTTCAGCAAAGTACTGAGTAAAGGGTATGAATACTTATGTAAATGCGATATTTCCGTTTTTTATTTGTAATACATTTGCAAAGATTTCTAAAAACCTGTTTTTGCTTTGTCATTATGAGGTATTGTGTGTAGATTGAACAATTTAAACAATTTTAGAATAAGGCTGTAACGTAACAACATTTGGAAAAAGTCAAGGGGTCTGAATATTTTCCGAATGCACTGTACACAGTACAAGTCAAAAGTTTGGACACACCTACTCATTCAAGGGTTTTTCTTTATTTTTACTATTTTCTACATTATAGAATAATAGTGAAGACATCAAAACTATGAAATAACACATATGGAATCATGTAGTAACCAAAAAAGTGTTAAACAAATCAAAATATATTTTATATTTCAAATAGCCACCCTTTGCCTTGGTGACAGCTTTGCACACTCTTGGCATTCTCTTAACCAGATTCACCTGGAATGCTTTTCCAACAGTCTTGAAGGAGTTCCCACATATGCTGAGCACTTGTTGGCTGCTTTTACTTCACTCTGCGATCCAACTCATCCCAAACCATCTCAATTGAATTGAGGTCGGGTGATTGTGGAGGCCAGGACATCTGATGCAGCACTCCATCACTCTCCTTCTTGGTCAAATAGCCCTTACACAGTCTGGAGGTGTGTTGGGTCATTGTCCTGTTGAAAAACAAATAATAGTCCCACTAAGCGCAAACCAGATGGGATGGCATATAGCTGCAGAATGCTGTGGTAGCTATGCTGGTTCTACAATGTAGAAAATAGTAAAAATAAAGAAAAACCCTTGAATGCGTAGGTGTGTCCAAACTTTTGACTGGTACTGTATATGGCATTCTTGGGGCATTCTATTGTGTTTTCCAGACATTTAAAGATTTTTTTTAAATCACATTGTCCCTTCAAACATTTTAAGCCATCATTAGGCTGTATGTAGCAATTATTTATGGGGATATGGTCAAGTGAATGTAGTCCAATATGGCCCCATACAGCTGGTTGGTGGCCATATTGGAAATGGCCGCCAGGGGGGTAATGGAAAAAATCTGTGATGGCACTATAGCCCAAAATACTTTAGACATAACCCAACTGTATGTGAAATTTGGTTGGCTCTATCACAAAGTCCACCAGTTTTTCCCGTAGCCACTGGACTATGGTCAAAATGGCCTCAATATGACCCCCATGTGTCACGCCCTGACTCAGGGGACTCGTATATGTTGAGTCAGGGTGTGTATATTCTATGTTGTTTATATTCCATGTGTGTTATTCTAGTATGTGTATATCTATGTTGGCCGGTGTGGTTCCCAATCAGAGGCAGCTGTCGCTCGTTGTCTCTGATTGGGGATCATACTTAGGCAGCATATTGGCACTAGGTAGTTGTGGGATCTTGTTCCGTGTTTAGGTTTGTTGGGTGTTACCTTAGGACTTCACGTTTCGTTTGTTTATTGTTTTGTCGTGTGTTTATTCTGTTTAATAAACATGTACGCATTTCACGCTGCGCCTTGGTCTGACCCGTCCTTGAAAGAACATGACACATGAAGGTCTTAAGGGTATTTTTTTGTGCTCAGAATTATTGTCTATATGATCTGTGGAATTTATTTAGTGGGTAGATAACATTACAAAATAATTTTACGCTATTTTCTTCTAACAGGAAATCCAGATGGCCTCCAATCTTTAAAATGTTCCTTAAGGTATTTAGTATTAGTGTACCAAGTTTGATACTTTTATCATGAAGTGGAACGATCTCAGAATATTTTGTTCTTATTTCCTGAACCTGCCAACAGATGTCATCAGAGGCACAGAGAAAGTAGCTTAGTCAAAGATATAGTACAGAATGGTTTCTATGCTGAACAAAAATATAATCGCAACATGTATAGTGTTGGTACCATGTTTCATGAGCTGAAATAAAAGATCCCAGAACTTTTCCATACGCACAAAAAGCTTATTTCTCTCAAATTTTGTGCACAAATTTGTTTACACCACTCCTTTGCCAACATAATACATCCACCTGACAGGTGTGGCATATCAAGAAGCTGATTAAACAGCATAATCATTCCACAGGTACACCTTGTGCTGGTGATAATAAAAGGCCACACAATATGCAGTTTTGTCACACAACACAATGCCACAGATGTCTCAAGTTTTGAGGGAGTGTGTAATTGGCATGCTGGCTGCAGGAATGTCCACCAGAGCTGTTGCCAGAGAATTGAATGTTCAGCCGCCTCCAACGTCGTTTTAGAGAATTTGGCAGTACGTCCAATGGACCTCACAACCGCAGACCACGTGTAACCACGCCAGCCCAGGACCTCCACATCTGGCTTCTTCACCTGCGGGATCGTCTGAGACCAGCCACCCGGACAGCTGATGAAACAACCAAAGAACTTCTGCACAAACTGTCAGAAACTGTCTCAGGGAAGCTCATCTGCATGCTCGTCGTCCTCACCAGAGACTGCAGTTCGGTGACGTAACCGACTTGAGTGGGCAAATGCTCAACTTCGATGGCCACTGGCACACTGGAGAAGTGTGCTGTTCATGGATGAATCCCGGTTTCAACTGTACCGGGCAGATGGCAGACATCGTGTATGGTGTCGTGTGTGCGAGCGGTTTGCTGATGTCAACGTTGTGAACAGAGTGCCCCATGGTGGTGGTGGGGTTATGGTATGGGCGGGCATAAGCTACAGACAATGAGCACACTTGCATTTTTCTGATGGCAATTTGAATGCACAGAGATACTGTGACGAGATCCTGAGGCCCATTGTCGTGCCATTCATCCGCCGCCATCACCTCATGTTTCAGCATGATAATGCATAGCCCCATGTCGCAAGGATCTGTACACAATTCCTGGAGGCTGAAAATGTCCCAGTTCTTCCATGGCATGCATACTCACCAGACATGTCACCCATTCAGCATGTTTGGGATGCTCTGGACCGACAGCGTGTTCCAGTTCCCATCAATATCCAGCAACTTCGTACAGCCATTGAAGAGGAGTGGGACAACATTCACAGGCCACAATCAACAGCCTGATCAACTCTATGCGAAGGAGATGTGTCACGTTGCATGAGACAAATGGTGGTCACACCAGGTACTGACTGGTTTTCTGATCCACGCCCCTACTTTAAAAAAAGGGTATCTGTGATCAACAGATGCATATCTGTATTTCCCAATCGTGAAATCCATAGATTAGAGCCTAATTTATTTATTTCAATGGACTTTTTTCCTTATATGAACTGTAACTCTAAAATCTTTGAAATGGTTGCATGTTGCGTTTATATTTTTGTTCAGAGTAATATATCTGGCTCAGTCCTCATCCTTTCAATTGTTGTATCTCACAATCATTCCACAAAATATCTGTAGCCATGAACAATATTCATACACTTTTACAATGATTACTCACAATCATAATTAATCGTGACATATTCCATGATGCTTAGTTATAGTAGCACAGTTTTTCTTTATTTCAATATCAACATATTGGCAAAGACTAATCCATACACAGCCATCATCACTAACACATAGACAATACAAAATAAATATACACCAACATCTCCATTTACTTTGTTCTTCATTATCAAATGAATATTAAAAACGTACACATTTCTCCCAGTTCATTGCAAGGTGTCTCAAAATACTTTATGGAATAAAATAAATAATATAAACAAAAGAAAAATCTTTACAAAATTATCAAAACTTGTCGGTTACAAAATATTTGCACTTAAAAAAGATCCCAGTATTTCAAATAAATAATAAGATATATAAAACAATTTATAGTTGATATTTTAAAATATTTCCTCTTTTTCAACAATGCAGAAGAAAACTCCTCTTAATCGCTGTTTAAAAATGTCTTCAGTATCATTTTGTTTGGTAAAAATAAATAAATAGGTCAATAAATAAATGCTGAATAAATAAGCTAAATTAACACAACATGAATAAATAATATATTAAACAGACATTTTTAAGACTCAAATTCATACACAACAATAATAATGAAACTAAAAACGATTCCTGGAAGTGCAACATCTATGCTCATAAATACTATCAACATTACTCAATGGGGTTGGAATAGACTATTTAGGAGAGTATTGTATGATGGGGTATTGGAGCCAGTATACTGCATTCTTAGTCCGTTCTGTACCATTAAAGTGGCTCTCTTTTTTTTGTATTATACCCCTCCAAACGTTCCTAAACAACCACACTAACACAGTTTTACTCCAATGCACTCAAGAACACTCAAGACATAATTGAAACTTCTGTACTCATCCATACACAAGTGTGTCCATTGATCCTGATAACCTTCATGCAAACAGGGAGGGGGAGCAACGTGAAATGGACACATTTTCTCCAAAACTAATAAGAGAAAAATCAAGTCTACAGTATATTCCAAAAGCAATGGATTTATGGATAGTTTCTGGGTTTTGTATACCCACACACCATGTCACCCCGCTCTCTTTCCTCTTCTCCCTCTCTCTTTCGTATGTTCCATTTAGCCTCTTCATCTCTCTTTTAGAGACTACACTTCGATACCTTTTACCGCTTGGTTGATGGACTCCAACAGAGCGCGGTTCTCCGGGTTTTGGTAGCAATCTTTATTGGAGAACATATGGGTCAAGGTGTCCACATATGTATCAATGTTCTGCTCCGACATAGGTTCCTGCTGAAGTAAACACAAGTAACGCGTTAGAGAAAGACAAGCTTGTATGCGTTAATCTGTGCATTTGTGGAGATTTGTGTTAGATCATTTGTAATTAGAAAATGTGCATTTATGCATGTAGGTGTGTAAAACTGAGGTTATGTCAAAATGTTCTCTCTAAGATAAAGTGTTTGTGTGTGCGTGCGTGTGTGTGTGCATGCTCTGAGTGATCCATCCCTGTGTGTAACTCACAATGTGTGGCAGCTGGATGTTGGACAAGCTGCGGATCAGAGCTTGGCTCAGGCCAGACAGCTCCATGTACAGGGCATCGTTTCTCTCCTCGATCTGCTTGTTCTCCTCCTCCATACTCTTCAGGTTCTTCTCCATGGACGAGATCTGAAGCAGAGAACCACAAACCAATCAACAACAGCTTATCAGTCAGCCACAAACTCTCTATACAATCAATGTTTTTATTTCTAATTGAATTAGGAACATCAAGACAGTATTTAGTGGTTATTGTTAACAAGTGGCAGACTCACCTGTGTGTGCAGGTTCATCATGTCATCCTCCATCTCTGAGTTGGACTCGCTCAGTTCACTGATCTCATTGTTCAGCTGCTTGATATCTTCATCATTATCCAGAACTGAATAAATAATAGCAAACCAGATAGAACCAATAAAACAACTAGCAACAGTCAAACATAATTGAAGATCATCCAGTTTTACTGGACCAGACTTGACCCACCTTTTCATGTTGGGACAAATCCTAACTTCCACTTAAGTCGAATTTTCACTTAGTCTCCCATTGACATCAATGCATGACTACGTGAAAATTTGATTTAATGGAAATTAGGATTTGTCCCATTATGGACAAACTGTCACATTAATTATTATTATTGAAAACACTACATATATTGTATGTGGACACCTGCTCATCGAACATCTCATTCCAAAAGCATGGGTATTAATATGGAGTTGGTCCCCCTTTTGCTGCTATAACAGCCTCCACTCTTCTGGGAAGGCTTTCCACTAGATGTTGGAACAATGCTGCGGGGTCTTGCTTCCATTCAGCCACAAGGGCATTAGTGAGGTCAGGCATGGATGTTGGGCAATTAGGCCTGGCTCGCAGTCTGCTTCCAATTTATCCCAAAGGTGTTCGATGGAGTTGAGGTCAGGGCTCTGCAGGCCAGTCAAGTTCTTCCACACCGATCTCGACAAACCCTTTTTGTATGGACCTCGCTTTGTGCACGGGGACATTGTCATGCTGAAACAGGAAAGGGCCTTCCCCAAACTATTGCCACAAAGTTGGAAGCACAGAATCGTCTTGAATGTCATTGTATGCTGTAGCGTTAAGATTTCCTTTCACTGGAACTAAGGGGCCTACTAGCCCGAACCATGAAAAACAGCCCCAAACCATTATTCCTCCTCCACCAAACTTTACAGTTGGCACTATGCATTGGGGCAGGTAGCGTTCTCCTGGCATCCGCCAAACCCAGATTCGTCCATCGGACTGCCAGATGGTGAAGCGTGATTCATCACTCCAGAGAACGCGTTTCCACTGCTCCAGAGTCCAATGGCTGCAAGCTTTACACCACTCCAGCCGACGCTTGGCACTGCGCATGGTGATCTTAGGCTTGTGTGCGGCTTCTCGGCCATGGAAACCCATTTCATGAAGCTCCCAACGAACAGTTATTGTGCTGACGTTGCTTCCAGAGAGTTTGGAACTCGGTAGTGAGTGTCGCAACCGAGGAGAGACGATTTTTACACGCTACGCGCTTCAGCACTCGGTGGTCCCGTTCTGTGAGCTTGTGTGGCCTACCACTTCGCGGCTGAGCCATTGTTGCTCCTAGACGTTTCCACTTCACAATAACAGCACTTACAGTTGACAGGGGCAGTTCTAGCAGGGCAGAAGTTTGACGAACTGACTTGTTGGAAAGGTGGCATCCTATGACAGTGCCACGTTGAAAGTCACTGAGCTCTTCAGTAAGGCCATTCTACTGTCAATGTTTGTCTATGGAGATTGCATGGCTGTGTGCTCGATTTTATACAGGTGTGGCTGAAATAGCCAAATCCACTAATTTGAAGGGGTGTCCACGTACTTTTGTGTGTGTGTATCTATATATATACACAACCCAGTCAAAAGTTTGGACATACCTACTCATTCAAGGGGTTTTCTTTATTTTTACTATTTTTTACATTGTAGAATAATAATATAATAATAATAATATGCCATTTAGCAGACGCTTTTATCCAAAGCGACTTACAGTCATGCGTGCATAATTTTTTTTTTTTGTGTATTTGATTTAATGGAAATTAGGATTTGTCCCATTATGGACAAACTGTCACATTAATTATTATTATTGAAAACACTACATATATTGTATGTGGACACCTGCTCATCGAACATCTCATTCCAAAAGCATGGGTATTAATATGGAGTTGGAATAATAGTGAAGACATGAAAACTATGAAATAACACATGTGGAATCATGTAATAACCAAAAAAGTGTTAAACAAATCAAAATATATTTTGTATTTGAGATTCTTCAAATACACAGAGTTCAAGTCACAGACACATCTCAACATCAACTGTTCAGAGGGGACTGTGTGAATCAGGCCTTCATGGTCGAATTGCTGCAAAGAAACCACTACACCAATAATAAGAAGAGACCTGCTTGGGCCAAGAAACACGAGCAATGGACATAAGACCGGTGGAAATGTGTCCTTTGGTCTGGAGTCTAAATTTGAGTTTTTTGGTTCCAACCGCCGTGTCTTTGTGAGACGCGGTGTGGGTGAACGGATGATCTCTGCATGTGTAGTTCCCACCATAAAGCATGGAGGAGGAGGTGTTATGGTGTGGGGGTGCTTTGCTGGTGATTTATTTAGAATTCAAGGCACACTTAACCAGCATGGCTACCACAGCATTCTGCAGCGATACGCCATCCCATCTGGTTTGGGCTTAGTGGGACTATTATTTGTTTTTCAACAGGACAATGACCCAACACACCTGCAAGCTGTGTAAGGGCTATTTTACCAAGGAGAGTGATGGAGTGCTGCATCAAATGATCTGGCCTCCACAATCCCCCGACCTCAACCAAATTGAGATGGTTTGGGATGAGTCGGACCGCAGAGTGAAGGAAAAGCAGCCAACAAGTGCTCAGCATATGTGGGAACTACTTCAAGACTGCTGGAAAAGCATTCCAGGTGAAGCTGGTTGAGAGAATGCCAAGAGTGTGCAAAGCTATCATCAAGGCAAAGGGTGGCATTTGAAGAATCTCAAATATAAAATATATTTTGATTTGTTTAACACTTTTTTGGTTCCATTTGTGTTATTTAATAGTTTTGATGTATTCTACAATGTAGAAAATAGTAAAAATAAAGAAAAACCCTTGACTGAGTAGGGGTGTCCAAACTTTTGACTGGTACTGTATATATATATATATATATATATACACACAGCATTCACCTGACAAAGATATAAATATCTTTATATAAATATCTTTGTCAGGTGAATGCTGTATATTAAAGTACCATTTATGTAGTATGTAAAATATATGTATACGTAACAAAAAAGCTGTATAAAAAAAGCTATTTTTGTCCTCCGAAGAGGATGGATTGATTTGTTTTAGATTTGTTGTTTTACTGTCAGATGAAACATTTAAGTTATGTCCAGACTTACCATCGCTGGCCCTGAACTTTGCTGTAATGTACTCATCTCCAGGAAACCTGGTTCTCTTCTTATTAGCGGAGGCTCTGGGACAACCAGAGAGACTGGGAACAACAGAAGAGGAAAAGAGAAATAAGGCTAGTGATGGAGCGCTGCTAGAATAGGGCCAATGTGGACTAGATACTAGTTAGTTTAGTTTATTTTAATATGCCATCAGTTTTCTTTACACAGCATGTTTTGCCATGCTTTAAAAACCTGTCTAGATGTAAACATCTGCTTAGAGCTGTCCGTCCGACCAAACTGAGCAACCGGGCAAGAAGGACCTTGGTCTGGGAGGTGACCAAGAACCCAGTGACCACTCTGAGAGAACTACAGAGTTCCTTGGCTGAGATGGGAGAACCTGCCAGAAGGACAACAGTCTCTACAGCACTTTACCAATCTGGACTTTATAGGAGAGTGGCCAGACGGAAGCCACTACTGAGAAAAAGGCACATGACAGCACGCCTGGAGTTTGCAAAAAGGCACGTGAAAGCATAAGGCAAAATATTATGTGGTCTGATGAGAAAAGAATTGGCCAAAACTTTTTGGCCTGAATGCAAAGCACTATGTCTGGAAAGAACCAGGCACAGCTCATTACCCGTCTAACACCATCCCTACTGTGAAGCATGGTGGTGACGTCATGCTATGGGGATGCTTTTCAGTGGCAGGGACTGGGAGACTGGTAAGGATAAAGGAAACAATGAATGGAGCCAAATACAGGCAAATCCTTGATGAGAATCTGCTTCAGAGTGCAAATGACCTTAGACTTGGGGCAAAGATTTACATTCCAACAGGACAATGACCCGAAGCATACAGCCAAAGCAACGCTGGACTGGCTTCAGAACCAGAATGTGTAAGTCCTTGAATGGCCCAGCCAAAGCCCAGACTTGAATCTCATTGAAAATCAGTGGAAAGACTTGAAGATTGCTGTTCACCTCCGCTCCCCATCTATTTTAACAGAGCTAAAGAAAATCTGCAAGGAAGAATGGGAGAAAATCCCCAAATCCAGATTTTCAAAGCTGATACAGACATACCCAAGTCACGGGGTATGAATACTTTCTGAAGGCACTGTAGGTTAATAATATTTCAGGTTTAGGCCCAGCTGTTTGTATTATGTTTGTAAGAACACAAACAAAAACCTTTTTTTGAATTTGATGAAGTGTAATACCTGCGGTGTGTGAGGAAGCTGCCATTGGCGTGTCCTGATCCGTCACAGCCGGGGGTGGGACAGGTGGGTCCCTCAGTCTTAAAGGCCTTCCAGGAGAAAGGAGAGCCGTTAAGGAGCCCCTCCTTCTGACGCCGCGCTGCCAGGGGGCACCCGTAGGCACTGCGGTGGGTGGCATACTTCCCACTGATGTGGCCTAGGCTGTCACAGCCGGGCACCGGGCATCTACTAATGGAGGGAGGGAAGCCAGGGTCAACGGTGGAGGAGAGGGGAACGAGAGAGAGAGAGGAAAGCAATCAGTATTCGTTTGAGAGCTAGAGGCGTTTGAGAGCTAGAGGGCCGAATAAAGGGCAATCCGTTGTGTGGATCGTAAAGAAAAGCAAACAAATGGTTTGCCGCGGACCAACCTTAGAAGCTCAGAGTCTTCCTTGTCATCCTTGGTGGGTGTTGTCTTGACAGCACCTTTCTTAGCACGAGGGCATCCAGACAAACTGACAGAGACATAGAGAGGAAAATAAGGATTCTAATACAGTCCTTTTTAGACTATCTTCCAGTAGGAATGACTAGGATGAAATAAAAATAGAAACAAAAGCAATAAACTATCTGTGTATACCTTCTATGGGAGGCGTAGTTTCCAGTGATGTGACCTGATCCATCGCATCCAGGGGTCGGACACCTGGGGGTCAACCAGACAGAGGTCAGAGGTCAGCACAAGTCATGTCAGCATAGCATAGCAAATGTAAAGATCATATGAACGTTTTTTCTCATAAAAGTAGCTAACATTCTTTCTCTATAGGATAGCAATTTGTTTGATACAGGAGATCGCAGCAGAGGGAAGACTCATCCCTGCACATTGCAGTGACAATACAAAGATCAGCAGGGTTCAGTCATGTCAGTATAAAGTAGGGTTAGAACAGGGATAGGGATCTCTGGTCCAGGAGGCCCACAGTGTGTGCAGGCTTTTATTTCAGCCCAGCACTAACACACCTAATTCAAATCCTTGACTAATCATGATCTTCAAGTCAGACAACTGTTAGGTTTGTAGATGTGTTGGAGCTGAACTGGAACCAATGCCTGCACACACATGCAGCTCTCCATGAGCAGAGTTGCCCCTGGGTTGGAAGGAAGGATGGAAGGGGGAATACAAGCACAGACATACTTTAGTTCAGCAGAGTGGGCAGCCATGAGGGTCCGAAGAGACTTATCAGCAAGAGGACAGCCTGACAGACTGGAAGATATGGAAAATATAGAGAGAGAAGGAGGGAGAGAGAGAGAGAGAGAGGGAAGGAGAGCGATGGAGAGGATATTGTGAAGTAATTTAATAAGGGGCAGAATAAAGGAAAGGGCTCGATCCCAATCACAACAATGAATATTGTTTACAGGATTCATCGTAGCACAGGATAAGAGAGCAATAGAGTATAGTAATTATTGAATGTTCTGGATTTGTAATGCAGATTTGTAGATTAGTTGACATTCAGTATCAGTGCCTGAAAAACACTATAAATGCAGTTGTATGCAGTTGTAAGACGGAAAATGTGAAACAGCGCTACCGACTGCATTGGTTGAAATGCAGGGGAGTGGGGCTGTGTCATACCTCCGATGTGACGCGTAGTTTCCAGTGATGTGCCCACTGCCATCACAACCTGGGGTGGGACATCTGGAGATAATTGGAAATTAATTAATTAATTGAAAACATAGTGACGGTGGATGGCAGTACTACTTTGAACTATGTCCTTTATAATAGTTATGTGTCAGCCTTGTGATTAGAGTACTCCATAGATAGAAAATTTAAAATTGGGATTATTTATCTCTTATAATGTTGTTATGAATGCTGGACTGAAGTTATTTTATAGCAGACTTACAGTAGAACTTCTTTTTTGCAGTCTTTGGGCGAGAACTGAACCTTGAAGCTGGACGTGGTGACCTCGCCTGGGTACTTCCTGTCCTCCATGCTCTCCTGAGTGATGTCATCATCCTCTGCATCAGAGGAGGTGTAGGAGTGGGCCACAAAGTCCATCTGGGGGAAGGTCAAACAAACACAGGTAAGGATGGAGAGAGATTATACCTTATAATTTCATCCATCCCTTATTCAAACCAGGATGTCCCATTGAGACAAAAAAGCAATTTTACAAAGAAGACCTGGCAAAGATGGCATCTCCAGCATAAAAAATCATGCAATCAGAACATAGTCACACAAGTCTCGCCTTAGCATATTTCCAATTGTTGTTCATCACTGGAAGCTGGGGCTAGAACACACACTACCCACTGGGCACACCACATCATTTCAACGTGGAGAATTGGGTAATAGTTAGTAGATATGTTGATCAATGAGATTCCAGCCTATTTTCACCCACTCAAAAAGACAGCCAAACGTTTGTTGAATTCCCAATGTGTTATCACTATGCTTTCAACCATCTAAAAGCACAACCAAAGTTCAAATGGGAATACAATGTCAGATATTTTGTTTATTTATACAACAACTTAATGTGTTATCACTGTGCTTAACTAATCTAATAGCACAACTAAATGACCTGGATTGCAGTTAGTTGAGGTTACATTAAAGTACATGGTGCAAGTGATCAATGCTGTTTGAGATTCTGTGCAGATTATTATAGCAATTGTGAAGATTTCCACAGACCTGCAACCCTGAACATGCACACTTTCTATGATTACATAAGAATACATGTATTGTTACAGTAACCTCAAAATGTGGCCATGGATGTGTTACTAATTTTAAGGTTTAATAAATACTGTTACATTAGTTCGTAAGATAGCCTTAACATTAGGTTATTTACTGTCTTACAAAAGTAATATTGAATTGTGTTTGGTTGACAACACAACCAAATATCAACTTTTGAAGGAGATGAACAATGCCTTGCAAAAGTATTCATCCCCGTTGCCGTTTTTCCTATTTTGTTGCATTACAACCTGTAATTTAAATTGATTTTTATTTGGATTTCATGTAATGGACATACACAAAATTGGTGAAGTGAAATAAAAAAGATTAATTGTTTCAAAAAATCTAAAAAATAAATAACAGAAAAGTGGTGCGTGCATATGTATTCACCCCCTTTGCTATGTAGCCCCTAAATAAAATCTGGTGCAACCAATTACCTTCAGAAGTGACATAATTAGTTAAATAAAGTCCACCTGTGTGCAATCCAAGTGTCACATGATCTGTCACATGATCTCAGTATATATGTACACCTGTTCTGAAAGGCCCCAGAGTCTGCAACACCACTAAGCAAGGGGCACCACCAAGCAAGAGGCACCATGAAGACCAAGGAGCTCTCCAAACAGGTCAGGGACAAAGATGTGGAGAAGTACAGATCAGGGTTGGGTTATAAAAAAATATCCAAAACTTTGAACATCCCACGGAGCACCATTAAATCCATTATTAAAAAATGGAAAGAATATGGCACCACAACAAACCTGCCAAGAGAGGGCCGCCCACCAAAACTCACGGACCAGGAAAGGAGGGCATTAATCAGAGAGGCAACAAAGAGACCAAAGATAACCTTGAAGGAGCTGTAAAGCTCCACAGCGGAGATTGGAGTATCTGTCCATAGGACCACTTTAAGCCGTACACTCCACAGAGATGGGCTTTACGGAAGAGTGTCCAGAAAAAAGCCATTGCTTAAAGAAAAAAATAAGCAAATACGTTTGGTTGTTCGCCAAAAGGCATGTGGGAGACTCCCCAAACAGGTACTTGGAAGAAGGTAACTCTGGTCAGATGAGACTAAAATTGAGCTTTTTGGCCATCAAGGAAAACGCTATGTCTGGTGCAAACCCAACACCTCTCATCACCCCGAGAACACCATCCACACAGTGAAGCATGGTGGTGGCAGCATCATGCTGTGGGGATGTTTTTCATCGGCAGGGACTGGGAAACTGATCAGAATTGAAGGAATGATGGATGGCGCTAAATTCAGGGAAATTCTTGAGGGAAACCTGTTTCAGTCTTCCAGAGATTTGAGACTGGGACGGAGGTTCACCTTCCAGCAGGACAATGACCCTAAGCATACTGCTAAAGCAACACTTGAGTGGTTTAAGGGGAAACATTTAAATGTCTTAGAATGGCCTTGTCAAAGCCCAGACCTCAATTCAATTGAGAATCTGTGGTATGACATAAAGATTGCTGTACACCAGCGGAACCCATCCAACTTGAAGGAGCTGGAGCAGTTTTGCCTTGAAGAATGGGCAAAATTCCCAGTGGCTAGATGTGCCAAGCTTATAGAGACATACCCCAAGAGACTTGCAGCTGTAATTGCTGCAAAAGGTGGCTCTACAAAGTATTGACTTTGGGGGGGTGAATAGTTATGCACGCTCAAGTTTTCAGGTTGTAAGGCAAGCCACTGTATCTTCTGCTTAGATAGATCCATCTGTGCCACTGAGTCTGGCTTAATTCCAGTTTGTCTATATATTAATAATTTACATGTTGGATTCACGTCTCCATTTCAACCAAAAATCTAAGTTAGAGAATAGGACTAAATCAAATCAAACTTGAAATGCACTTTAAATACAGTTTGATTTGATTTAATCACAATCTTTAACTTTTATTTTTGGTTGAGATGGAGACGTGAATCAAACATATTTTTTTATCAACTTGTAGATTACATTTGAAATCAACCAAAGCTTGAAACCCTAGGCCTATATATATTGTCTATTTTAAAAAAATCCTGTGCTGAATTTAAACAATAGCTGTTGATGACTTCCCAAATGCTATATAGGCCTAAATAGCATCATTGATGATATATGATTGATAAAGTATGGTTACATTTTATTTGTTCTGTTGAACCAACCTTTTGGAATGACTTCGATAATCATTCTCACGATAGCACAACACGATAGCAACAATCATTCTTATGATAAGACATTGGTACTAGTCAGTGACAAAATCAAAGCTAAGCAAGGTTGGACTTCGTTAAAACCCTGGATGGGAGACCGAAGAGATAGCTGTAGATAGATCAACTCTCCAGTAGGAGGTGCTGTCCAGCATATAGTTTTTTCTTATAGTGGATATTACATTGAAGATCTGACGTTCTTTCAAAGGTACAACTTCAACATATTTTATACAAGGTTTGTCTATGTTGAAAATTGGTTACCATGATGATATAATCCTGTGGTTGAAATGTTTTCCTCAAAACAACAGTTTAGGTTGATAATTTTTTTCGAATCCAATGTATTTTCCACGTAGATTCCACATCACAATACGTTGACAGATTACGTTGAAACAACGTTGATTTAACCTCTCTCAAGACTATAACATTATCATAATTCCAATGGTTTGGTGTTATTCACGGACATGGCGTAATGCAGTTACCTCATCTTGCTCCTCCTCCTCTTTGGGACAGTTTGGCTTGGTGAAGTCCAGAGGCCCTTCCCACTCCTCCTGCAGGTGGGCCTGGGACAAGGGAACACCTCCCGGTTGCTGCGAGGAAGAGGAGGAGGATGAAGAGGGGTCTGGTGATTGCATCCCTTCCCTCTTGATGGGCTTCTTCATGCTCAGGTCCAGTGTCCCATTCTCATCCACTTCAATATCAATTTCCTGAAGGTACAAGGACTATGTTAGCGTGAGTGTGAGTGTGATTGTGTGTGTGTGTGTGTGTGTGTACCAGTGGAGGCTGCTGAGGGGAGGACAGCTCATAATGTCTGGAATGGAGTAAATGGAATGGCATCAAACCCATGGAAACCATGTGTTTGATGCATTTGATAACATTCCACTGATTCCGCCCCAGCCATTACCACGAGCCCATCCTCCTCAATTAAGGTGCCACCAACCTCCTGTGGTGTATACATATGTAGGATCCTAATTTGATCACTATTTTGCAGATGAGCTTCTTGATTTACATAAATTCACACACAAAAAAAACACTAACATACGGTTATATTAGCAGTATTGCACTTTTCATGTAGCCTACTTTTGGCCAGCAAATAGCCTAACAACAGATCAAGCAACATTATGGACTAAACGTTCAAATCCTGTTATTATTTTTGCTGTGACAATATAGGTCAAATTAAGATACTACACCTGTATATTTGTGTACATTGATGATAAAAGTTAGAAGCTCTATCAAGATCAGATTGATTCACCAGAAAGTGCATGGTCAAGTAATGCAGTGTGTCCAATAAATACTTTAAGAGGGAAAGACATTGTAAAGTCAACTACTAAAGCATGGCGCTTGCAACGCCAGGGTTGTGGGTTCGATTCCCACAGGGGGCCAGTATGGAAAATGTATGCACTCACTAACTGTAAGTCGCTCTGGATAAGAACGTCTGCTAAATGACTAAAATGTAAACTACCAACACCAAAAGGATAGGCTGGGCTGAGCTGGGTAGCAGAGAGGCCTACCTTGCCGGCTGGGTCCTGCTGTTTGGTGCTAAGGTTCTCGGGCCTTTCCCAGCAGCGAGTGGACAGGTTCAGGATGGCAGTGGCAGCCATGTGAGCAGCCTCGGCATCATGGGAGTAATCGTAGCCGCTGGAGGACGAGGAGGAGCTGCTCTTTGCATATCCTCCTGACAAGCTATGGCTTGGGGACGAGGCCTTAGGGAATGGTTTAGCTGTGGAGGAAAGAGAGGGTGGGAGTCCAAATGAGAATTCATCCTCCCAGTAGAACATGCACCAAGATACTATTACAGATCTCCCTATAACCAGCAGGGTTGTGATCCAAGACTACCGACCAATTTCTCTCATGAACACTAACGTGACAAGTGAAAGTTATGTTTTGGTAAGAATGGTTTCCAACAGAAATTCAACAAATGCCAAGATCATATTTTTTTTATATAGGGGATTGATCAGCTATGAAATTAGCAGATAGAATTGGATTCTATCAAATAACATTACTTGCATCATTTCTAATCCCCTGGTTGGTGGACTTGGTGGAAACATAAAAATTAAATATACAGTGCCTTCTGAAAGTATTCATACCCCTTGACTTATTCCACATTTTGTTGTTTTACAGCCTGAATTCGAAATGGATTCGATTTTTTTTGTCAACCATCAACACACAATACCCCATAATGACAAAGTAAACTTTTTTTGTTGTTGAAATTTTAGCAAATGTATTGAAAATGAAATACAGAAATATCTTATTTACATAAGTATTCAGACCCCTGAGTCAATACTTTGTAGAAGCACCTTTGGCAGCGATTACAGCTGTGAGTCTTTCTGGATATGTCTCTAAGAGCTTTCCACACCTGGATTGTGCAACATTTGCCCATTATTCTTTTCAAAATTCTTGTGTTTTAGGTTATTGTCCTGCTGAAAGGTGAATTAATCTCAGTGTCTGGTGGAAAGCAGACTGAACCAGGTTTTCCTCTAGGAACAGCTCTATTCTGTTTTGTTTTTTTATCCTGAAAAACTCCCCAGTCCTTAACGATTACGAGCATACCCATAACATGATGCAGTCACCACTATGCTTTTGACAATATATAGAGAGTGGTACTCATTAATGTGTTGTATTGGATTTGCCCCAGACATAACACTTTGTATTCAGGACAAAAAGTTAATTGCTTTGCCACATTTTTTGCATTATTACTTTAGTGCCTTGTTGAAAACAGGATGCATGTTTTGGAATATTTTTATTCTGTACAGGCTTCCTTCCTTTCACTCTGTCAATTAAGTTAGTATTGTGGAGTAACTACAATGTTGTTGATCCATCCTCAGTTTTCTCCTATCGCAGCCATTCAACTCTGTAACTGTTTTAATGTCACCATTGGCCTCATGGTGAAATCCCTGAGCGGTTTCCTTCCTCTCCGGCAACTGAGATAGGAAGGACGCCTGTATCTTTGTAGTGACTGGGTGTATTGATACACCATCCAAAGTGTAATTAATAACTTCACCATGCTCAAAGGGATATTCAATGTCTACTTTATATTTTTACCCATCTACCAATAGGTGCCCTTCTTTGCGAGGCATTGGAAAACCTCCCTGGTCTTTGTGGTTGAATCTGTGTTTGAAATTCACTGCTCGACTGAGGGACCTTACAGATAATTGTATGTGTGGGGTACAGAGATAAGGTAGTCATTAAAAAAATTATGTTAATCACTATTATTACACACAGAGTAAGTCCATGCAACATATTATGTGACTTGTTAAGCAAATTTCTACTCCTGAACGTATTTAGGCTTGCCATAACAAAGGGGTTGAATACTTATTGACTCAAGACATTTCAGCTCTTCAAATTAATTTGTAAAAATGTCTAAAAACATAATTCCACTTTGACATTATGGGGTATTGTGTGTAGGCCAGTGACATAAAAAAATGGAAAAAGTCAACGGGTGTGAATACGTTCTGAAGGCACTGTGTGTGTGTGTGTGTGTGTGTGTATGTGTATGTGTGTGTATATGTACAGTGGGGAGAACAAGTATTTGATACACTGCCGATTTTGCAGGTTTTCCTACTTACAAAGCATGTAGAGGTCTGTAATTTTCAGAAAATCCAGAAAAATCACATTGTATGATTTTTAAGTAATTAATTTGCATTTTATTGCATGACATAAGTATTTGATCACCTACCAACCAGTAAGAATTCCGGCTCTCACAGACCTGTAAGTTTTTCTTTAAGAAGCCCTCCTGTTCTCCACTCATTACCTGTATTAACTGCACCTGTTTTAACTCGTTACCTGTATAAAAGACACCTGTCCACACACTCAATCAAACAGACTCCAACCTCTCCACAATGGCCAAGACCAGAGAGCTGTGTAAGGACATCAGAGATACAATTGTAGACCTGCACAAGGCTGGGATGGGCTACAGGACAATAGGCAAGCAGCTTGGTGAGAAGGCAACAACTGTTGGCGCAATTATTAGAAAATTGAAGAAGTTCAAGATGACGGTCAATCACCCTCAGTCTGGGGCTCCATGCAAGATCTCACCTCGTGGGGCATCAATGATCATGAGGAAGGTGAGGGATCAGCCCCGAACTACACGGCAGGACCTGGTCAATGACCTGAAGAGAGCTGGGACCACAGTCTCAAAGAAAACCATTAGTAACACACTACGCCGTCATGGATTAAAATCCTGCAGCGCACGCAAGGTCCCCCTGCTCAAGGCCAGCGCATGTCCAGGCCCGTCTGAAGTTTGCCAATGACCATCTGGATGATCCAGAGGAGGAATGGGAGAAGGTCATGTGGTCTGATGAGACAAAAATAGAGCTTTTTGGTCTAAACTCCACTCGCCGTGTTTGGAGGAAGAAGAAGAATGAGTACAACCCCAAGAACACCATCCCAACCGTTAAGCATGGAGGTGGAAACATCATTCTTTGGGGATGCTTTTCTGCAAAGGGGACAGGACGACTGCACCGTATTGAGGGGAGGATGGATGGGGCCATGTATCGCAAGATCTTGGCCAACAACCTCCTTCCCTCAGTAAGAGCATTGAAGATGGGTCGTGGCTGGGTCTTCCAGCATGACAACGACCCGAAACACACAGCCAGGGCAACTAAGGAGTGGCTCCGTAAGAAGCATCTCAAGGTCCTGGAGTGGCCTAGCCAGTCTCCAGACCTGAACCCAATAGAAAATCTTTGGAGGGAGCTGAAAGTCCGTATTGCCCAGCGACAGCCCCGAAACCTGAAGGATCTGGAGAAGGTCTGTATGGAGGAGTGGGCCAAAATCCCTGCTGCAGTGTGTGCAAACCTGGTCAAGACATACAGGAAACGTATGATCTCTGTAATTGCAAACAAAGGTTGCTGTACCAAATATTAAGTTCTGCTTTTCTGATGTATCAAATACTTATGTCATGCAATAAAATGCAAATTAATTACTTAAAAATCATACAATGTGATTTTCTGGATTTTCTGAAAATTACAGACCTCTACATGCTTTGTAAGTAGGAAAACCTGCAAAATCGGCAGTGTATCAAATACTTGTTCTCCCCACTGTATATTATTTTAAAATCATACTGGATTCCAAGTGTATGGGCCAATCACTATTCTTAATTACAACCCTAAGATGTCGACAGACTAACTAATCTTTCTCAGTACACTACCATTTTACTATTTACTTCTGCAATACATCCTTCTATTTTACTGTGATGTCTTACGAGGGTCTTGAACCTCTCTATTTGTACCATTTCTACCGAGATTGCCCTAAAAATAAATACCTTTACCTAAGAGTATAATTATATTTCCCATTGATTGATCGTGGTTTTTCAGATCTCCTAACAGTACTGTTTGTAGGTCCATCTGAACAGACATTATGACTTAACAACCACTCATGGACCTGACTCCAAAAGCGAGCCACCGAAAGACCATCCCAAAAGAGATGATCTATTGATTCTGGTTCCTCGAGTTCGCAGAGGGCTGACTGTTCAATTCCCCATATATTAAACATTATTTTTGTAGCGAGAATTTTATATAATAGTTTACATATAAAATCATTAATTGATGTGTAAATTGTTGTTTTGTATATCAGTTCATAAACCCGATGCCATGGAATTGGGACATTGAAAATCTGTTTGCAACTATCTTGAATTTTACGCGGTATAGTTTTCAAACCTCTCGACCTTAAGTGAAACTGATACATTTTACTATTTATACTAGTCATACTAGGCCATGCATGGTTTTTCATTGGAGGCAGACAAACAAATGCATTCCTTTCTCTTTTGAGTAATTGCCTCTTCCATTTTTGAGGCAGAGCTGCAATGAGTTGATTATACTTTTGTATTGAGCATACATCTCCATACAACTTTGTTCATTGCTTGTGCAACATAATTTTACTGTCCTTATTTACAATATCAGTCATAAACATGATACCTTCCTTATACGTTCCCTCTATCAGTACATTGGAGTTCAGCCATATTATTTACTGTAATATTTATTCTGACTCTTCTGGAGGATGAAATTGGAATTGTAACCAACTCTGTATGGCTTCAATTAAAAAGGAGGATACTTTAAACAGGGTTCCATTGTCAATCAACTGGAAATGGTTGGCTTTACTCTGTATAACGGCAAAAAGCCCCCTTTTGAACATTGGATGTGCCTCTCTTAGTAGCCTGCTGGAAAACCAGTTTGGATTTAGATATAACGGAGGCTTTAAAAGGTTAATGCCTTCATATTTAATCGTTTTAACCCTCCACACTTTCTATCAAAGTTAATAGTTGCAAGATCGTTCAACGTTTCCAGGATATGTACACCAAGTACATCAACTTCACCATCCGCCCATTTCATCGCTAAACCACATCGCAATTTAAAGTTTGTATCTTTTAAAGACCCAATCAGTAATATAGTAAGTACACTTATTGTGGTTGGGTTTTAGTTCAGAGAAACTGGAGAAATTATCCAGGTCCTCTGATGGTGACATAGACCTTCTATCCAACAGCGTTGCTGACTATATCAACTTCTGTGTGGACAATGTTGTTCCACAGAGAGCTGTGAAGTGCTTCCCCAATAACAAACCATGGATTACAAGAGACATTAAGAGCACGCTCAATATGAAAAAACAAGCATTCCTGAGGGGTGACATGGTCAGTGTGAAAGGGATACAGAAGGAATTAAAACAAATGATCCAGGCTGGTAAAAGGGACTACAAGAACAAGATTGAGCAACAGTTTGCTCGCAACAACATCAGGGAGGTGTGGAAGGGGATGCAGCTCATTGATATGGTGGGCATTCAGCTGAGGGAACTGTGGAGGCACCAGCTAATGAGCTCAACCAGTTCTTCGCACGCTTTGACAACTGTGATTTCTCCACAGAACGACAGGAGGTCTATGGAGAGGTTACAGCAGCGGAGTCTGGGACCAGTCCTGCTATTACTCTGACTGTTGGTGAGGAAACAGATAAAACTGACCAATGCCAGGAAGGCTGCAGGACCGGCTGGATTCAGACCCTGGGTGCTCAAGGACTGTGCTGAGCAGCTGTGCAGGATCCTGCACTTTATCTTCATGCAGTCACTGTCTACCTCTACTGTACCTACACTATGGAAATCCTCCTGCATTGTGCCTGTTCCCAAAAACACCAAGGGGCAGGGCCTAAACAACTTCAGGCCTGTTGCACTCACTTCCCAGCTGACAAAGTGGTCCTGGCGCAACTAAAGCAGCAGGTGCAGGGGTTTCTTGACCCCCTGCAGTTTGCCTACCAGGCCAAGATAGGTGTGGAAGATGCACTGCTATTCATGTTGCACAAAGCGTATGAGCACTTGGAGAGAGCAGGGAGTGAGTGCAGTCCGCATCATGTTCTTTGACCTTCCTAGTGCCTTCAACAACATCCAGTCCCATCTTCTAGCCTGCAAACTCCAGGTCATACAGTTACATCCTTCCACCATCACCTGGGTCATGGACTACCTCACTGACAGGCCGCAGCGGGTCAGACTACAGAACCATTCAGTCTCAGACACCATCATCACGATCACAGATGCCCTACAATGGACAGTTTTGTCACCATTCCCCTTCACCCTCTACACAGCAGACTGCTGGCACGCCCAAGCCTCCTGTCACCTACAAATGTTTTCAGATGATTCAGCCATTGTAGGCTGCATCACGAAGAATGATGATTCCCTATACAGGGAGGCAATATCCTCATTTGTGGCATGGTGCAGCCAAAACCACCTGGAGCTGAATAGGTCTAAAACCAAAGAGCTGGTGATAGACTTCAGGAGCAAGAAGGAGAGCGCATCTGCTGTGGTCATCAATGGGGTCACACTGAAAAGGGTGGACTCGTACAAATACCTGGGGGTGGTGATTGATGATAAGCTGCAGTGGAAAGAGAACACCATGGTTTTTAAAAAGGCTCAGCAAAGGCTATTATTTTTAAGGAAGCGCAGATCCTTCAATGTCTGGGGGGGTAACATCACTAGGGAGGATGCAAACAGGCTAAACAAAATCATCAAGAAGGCTGGCTCTACCATCGGCACCAACCAGGACAAACTAGAGCCCATCCTAGATAAGCGGAACCTCAAGAAGCTCAGGAGTATAGAGGCCAACACTAGCCAGGTATCTACCTGGAGCAGACAGATTTATTTTTCCTAAAACAGAACGTTTCCGCTGATCCTTTTTACCATATGCTATGAGGCTTTTAACACAAACACTTAGTTTTTTATATCCATTGATGATGTGCTGGTTTAGTGTGTGTCTGTTGTGTTTTTATGGCGTATTTATTGGTAATGTATGTATTGGCTGATGCAATCAAATTTCTACTCTGGGGGATTAATAAAGTACTATTTTATCTTAAGGCCCTTCAAGGTTGAAGATTGAGGACTCGAGAACTTGAATCATCAGCATATATTGATACTTTTGTCTCTGATCCATACATTTTTAGCCCCTTATTGTTATCAGATCTGATGACAGTTCAATGGCCATAATAAATAACCTTGTTATTAATCTGCTATAAAGATTATAACTGGTTTCCCTGCATTCTCATAGTTTTTCATTATTTCTGCTAAGATCGTCTTACATTTGATGGCTTTGGGTGAGGGTTGACTGGTGGCGGGCATCTTTGGAACCAGCATAGGCTTCCCAAACACCTGGACGTCGAAGCTTGCATAGTCGAAGGAAACCTTGGAGTATTTCTCCAGCTCTTTGGCCAGGTTGGCGCGGGGTGTGGCAGGCACCATGTTGGGTCTGTAGCCATACTGAGGGATCTCCAGCTGCTTCACAAAACACATAGGTCTGTAGGAGAGAGCGAGAGAGAGTCAGAACATTTTGTGCAAGAGAAAGGGTAAAATATGAGTAAAATGCATCAGAGACAGCTTTTGTAGTAAGGGGAGAATGGGAGGAGGAGAGAGGGCTCACCTGAGAACTCTGTCTGAGTGGGGGCTCCCAGTTGGGGGCTCGCTGACTGAAGGCTGGGGGTGACTGGGGGTGAATTGGCCCCCCTTGGCGAGCTTCTCTGCAGCTGCGATGGGACAACCAGACAGACTGAGATGGACAAAGAGAGATAATTAATCAATTGTTTCCCTTTTGATTGACTAACTTTGTGACTAGAACTACAGCTCATTAACAGCTAATTTCCCATATACTCAATTAAGTGTAGGGATAAAATGTAAATGTGAGGTTATAATCGTTGGACAGTATAATACCTGCGGTGTGTGTTGCGATTGCTGTTGACGTGACCTTGGCCTGTGCATCCTGGAGTTGGACACTTCAGCACGTTCTCGTGCATGGCCAGGACTAGGGAGATGGCGGGAGAGAGACATAGACAGAGAGATATATGTTTGTGTGACAGGTCTGAATATTGTTCAAAGCAGTAATGTTTCCCTGTTAGCACTTTGGTAGTACCATGTTAGTACTCTGCTAGTACTACAAACAAGTACTCACTCTCAGGTGGGATCCTGTCTTTGTGAGGGCACCCAGAGAGGCTGCGGTGGTGGGGGTAGAGCCCAGTCACATGGCCCGTCCCATCACACCCAGGGGTGGGGCATTTCACCTCTTTCTTGTCTGGATGGAAAGGGGAGAGAAGTTGAGTGAGCAGGATAATAATTGGAAGATTAACCTATGGTGGGTTAAAAGATATCCTGATAAACCATAAACTGTCCTACCTTTGCTGTGGTGTCCTCTGTGTCGAATGGCTGGGTCCATGGGTTTGCTGGCCCTGTCGTCGGGGCTTTGGTAGCGCTGGTCCTCAGGAGACTGTTGGTCGTCGTGCGGCCCTCTCACCTGCTTGGCCTTTAGTGCGATGGCTTGCTCCAGCAGCCCTAAGTTCCCCCGGGTCATATCCCAGGTCTCCGAGTCATCTGTCACGCCCGAACCCTGTGAGAGACAGTCATCTTCCTCCTCCTCTTCCTCCTCCTCAGATCGTATCTCAATGACCACTGTGGTAGGTGAGGCTTTGTGAGAATATTGGTCTTCTTCTTCCACCTCCCCTGCTTCTGTCTCCTCCTCTCCTTCCTCCTCCTCTTCCTCCTCTTCTGTCAACAGGGTACAAATGTTTATCTCCTCCGGGGCCACTTCTTTATCCTCACATTTCTGAGCAAGCGTACTAGAGGCAAGAGAGATGGCAGGCTCCACGTGGATCACCTCCTCCTCCTCCTCCTTTTCCTCCTCTTCCTCCTCCTCCTCCTCTTCCTCCTCCTCCTTCTCTTCCTCCTCCTTCTCTTCCACTACCTTCTTCTCCTTCTCCTCTCCCTCCTTCTCTTCCTCTTCTTCTTCCTCATCTCCTTCCTCTTTTGCCTGATGCCTGCTGTAGTCGCCACTGGAGTACTGATGATCTGAGTTCTCCTGACTCACACATTGCCTCTCCTCTTCTTTCTCTTCCTCCACTCCCTCCTCCTCCTCTTCTTCCTCGTCTCCTACCTCCTCCTTTTGCTTCTCCTCAATCTCTGCTCTCCCTGTTTTATCGTTGCCTTTGGGCTGCTCTGTTGTTCTGTCTTCATCAACTGTCCCCTCATCTTCCTCCTCCTTCTCCTCCTCAGCGGCCTGTATCTCTGCCACTACTTGCACCTCCACTTCGCGTCTGTATGTATCTGTCTCTGCCTCTGTTTCTGCTTCTGCCTCTGTTTCTGCTTCTGCCTCTGTGGAAGCCTGCTGTTGGGTTGTGGTGGCTGCTTCTGTGTCCTCCTGCGGAGCCTCTACTTCAGGTGCAGCTATGGTGTCGAACTCGACAGACGTCACTTTTTCTGTGTCTTCGGGTACCACCTGTGTGCAATCGGCTGTGTACAGTGCAGAGTTGATAGGTTATTGCTAAAGAAAGAGCTGTTCCCTGTATTTGTCTTTCCATCATTACTTACTTTAGTATCATTATCAATATTTACCACTGTAATAGCCAATAACAATCCATGATAAATGTGATATTTTCCTTGGATTCTAGTCTTCTCTTGACTCACCTTTCATGGACTCCAGTGGGTTTGGCGTTTTGTTATTTTCTTTATCCTCCTGCTCCTCCTCCTCTGACTCCTCCTCCTCCTTATGCTCCGCCTCACTGCCAGCATCACTGTCTGCTGCGTTGAAACCCTCGTCCATGGCCAACTTCAGGGACGGGGTCTTTTTCTTAGGGGCAGGCTGATTCTCTTCTGCCTCTGCCTCCGCCTCCGCAAGTTTCCTCTTCTTCACTATTGGGCATCCGAGAACGCTGTGGGTGCAAGGTGAGGAGATGGGTGTTATTAAGACACTATTGAATTCCCCTTCAAATGTATATTTTACACTATACGTTGTATTTGTAATGGAGCTTTTTTTCAATGACCCAAAGTTGAGATGTATTTTACAAACTGTGTTAGCATAGGAACTTGAGCGCTAATAGTTGGCGGTGGTTAGTATAGTTAGTATGTCGTACCTTTTGTGTCGTGAATATCTCCCACTGACATGGCCTGAACCATCGCATCCGGGTGTGGGGCAGCTACTTAGTGATACAAACAGAAAACAAACATGTGTTTTCTTCATGTTGCACAATGGATACGTTCAAACTCTGTATGTGCTTTTCAGTTCATCGTCAGCCCAGTTTATTTGCTCTGAATATCTGCATGCTCTGGTTTTAGTGTACTGGACCCATATTGCAGTTATCAGGAAAGGGCTACATGTATACAGTAATAGGAAAAGTGTGTGGGTGGATTTATACAGAAAACATCATCCTCTCTCACCTTAACTCTGTTCCCACCAGTTCAATGGGTACTGGGGAGTAAAATGACAGACAGTGAACATCAAAAGACACACTTATCCTAAATACACACCAAATGAAGCTGTTTCCATTAATATCACGTGTTTGTGTGTGCATGTGTGTGGCCCCAGCTCACCTCGGATGCCTTTTGAGCGGGTCCGTGTTCTTGTTTCTGATGCTTCCTGACTCATCTGAAACACACAGTGTCATGACAGTGAACTCACTACCTCTCTTTCTCGCTCTCGCTCTCTCTCTCTCACACACACACACACACAAACATATACTGCATAGACACACAGGTACACATATTGATGCTCATACACACACAGCTTCACTTTTTGAGTGACTTCTCTACAATTATTCTGCATCATCAATGCATACAGTGCCTCATTGCAAGTACCATAGCACTATCAATGTATCTTTCCCCCTGTCTTCCTCTTCCCACACACAGATACACCCATAACCTAACACATACGCATAACATTCATACTGATTTCAAAGTCAGGTGGAACCTTCCATTTTTTTACATTACATTTTAGTCATTTAGCAGACACTCTTATCCAGAGCAACTTACAGTTAGTGAGTGCATACATATTTATTTATTTTTTCATACTGGCCCCCCGGGGGAATCGAACCCACAACCCTGGCGTTGCAAACGCCATGCTCTACCAACATCCCTGCCTGCCATTCCCTCCCCTACCCTGGACGACGCTGGGCCAATTGTGCGCCGCCCCATGGGTCTCCCGGTCACGGCCGGCTACGACAGAGCCTGGATTCGAACCAGGATCTCTAGTGGCACAGCTAGCACTGCGATGCAGTGCCTTAGACCACTGCGCCACTCGGGTCCCTCATCCTCAATGGAGCAAGATCTGGTTACAAAAGCAGAGCCCTTATCAAATCTAATAGAAGCTGTTAAAAGGAAAAATGAATGACCTCCTTCCGTTTAGGGAGGGAAGGAAGAGAGAGAGGAGAGTGAGATAGATTTTGTGTGAAATGGGAGGGTCACTGTTTCTGACACTACTCATCGGTATCACGAAGCATTAACTCTCTATTTCTCTCTCGCTCTTTCTCACACAGACACAGGTACATGTGTGCGTGCACACACACACACACACACACACACACACACACACACACACAACCACAAACACAGCTTCTCACTTTGATTCGCAGGCTCCTCTTGACCTCACAGAATCTGCTTATTCTGTCCCCTCGTGTCCACCTCTGGTTCAGCAGCTGGCCTCTGAACTCATTTTCTATTGGAGAGGAGAGACATTGGACACAAAGTCATGGTTATACATCACTACCTATATTGTCTGCACTGGTGACATCCTAACCCGTTAGTGATGTAAGTAATGACTGTGTTACGTACTATATTTTTTCCATGTATGGCAAGTTCATTTTACTACATCATGTCATTTTGTTTGTTGGTGTTAATCTTATTTGTGTACAGAATGTTTATTTTTTTTAAACGTGTACACAAAATTATCCTTGTAGAGCAACCCAGAAATCATTTAATGTTCAATCTGGACAGAGCTACAGGTAAAACAGGTTGATGGTTCATAAATAACCATGACTGTTATTATATTATTATTATTGCACCCATTAGGCTATAGAACTGTATTCTAATTCTACAATGACACAGCGTTTCACCCGTGAACAATGTATAGCATGAGCGCGTGACCCAGCTGTTTCATTTTAGGCCTACTATACATTACGAACTACATCCACACAGCTATTGCCTCATGTGGGCACCTCGTCCCTTACATTTTTTACATTTTTAGTCATTTAGCAGACGCTCTTATCCAGAGCGACTTACAGGAGCAATTAGGGCTAAGTGCCTTGCTCAAGGGCACATCGACAGATTTTTCACCTAGTCGGCTCGGGGATTAGAACCAGCGACCTTTCGGTTACTGGCACAACGCTCTTAACCACTAAGCTACCTGCCGCCCTAGACCCTTGGAGCTCCCCATACATTAGGACTCTCCAACCCTGTTCCTGGAGAGCTACCTCCTGTAGGTTTTCACTCCAACCCTAATCTAGCGCACCCGATTCTAATAATTAGCTGGTTGATAAACTGAATCAGGTTAGTTACAACTGTTAGTTACAACCGTGTGGCTCAGTTGGTAGAGCATGCTGCTTGCAACACCAGGGTTGTGGGTTCGATTCCCACGGGCGACCAGTATGAGAAAGTACGAAAATGTATGCATTCATTACTGTAAGTCGCGTCTGATAAATGAATGAAATGTAACGGGAAAAAAATGTCTAAGCTACAGGAGGGTAGCTCTCCAGGAACAGGGTTGGAGAGCCCTGCCATAGACAATCGGGTTGTGTGTGGGATTCTCCCAGAGAAATATAAGAGAACAATACACAAGGCCTGCCCGTGTGTTATCACTAGAGCTCTCAATTAAGCAATGATGTTGAGGCAACGCGTACAGTGTTCATGTTGTGTAAAACATTCAGCAATGTGCAAAAATAATGTATCATTTTATACCATATTAGGCCTACCTATGATTACGCCTACTATATGGATGGACGGTTAGCCCTATAACTGGTGGTAATTGTATTATTTGAGGAATAGCCTTTAATAAACTAGCCATGAATCATATATCCTGAAATATTAAACTGTACAACAGAAATGCATATCTGCTCACCAGAGCAGCTAGCCTACCCAAAGCAAAGGCCTCGACCATGCTATTTTTATAATGTATTACACATAATGGAATTAGACCTAAAGGCATACTGTAGGACACATTTGAATAGATTCAAATGATTTATGATTGTGGGTTTAAAGAGAACGTGCTTCGTGTCTTTGTTTATCGGCTTTGCACAAAAACACCACGGCGCTCGCTGTCCATGGTGCTAACACGACCTAACACACTCACTCTGTATGAAAGGCTATGGCACCACGCCTTCGATTTAATCAGTCCTTGCTGTAGAGAGAGAGAGAGCCTTCAAATATCAAGCTTGGGTGGGTTTTTCTAGTGCTACTATATTAATAAACTCGTTATAAATGGCACTCTGAGCGCACATAGCCCCGGGAGATGGTGACATTTGAGGGGCGCATTGGCTCTCGGAAATGTAGCTCCACCCCCCCCCACACACACACAGACTCCTACCGACACACTTTACAGTCATCGACACACAACCTCCTGCGAGCCGAGTAGCAAAGCACTAGGCAAATTATTTAGTAACGCAGCAGTAGGCCCATTGCAAAGCCACTTTGTAACAAAATAAACGTGCAGGTTTAGGCCTTAATTGGTCATCGAGTGAACATCCACAACTGAACTACAAAGACAAAAAACATAGAAGACGAGATAGGAACAAGAAAAGTAGGCAACATTGCGTTTATTAAAGGCCTATGCCTCTCTTGGTTGCAAAAACATAAAGGACTTTCACAATAGCACCCTAAATCGAAACAAATATCCCTAGCTTCAAATATTATCTGATATCTCCTACTTTTTCTATAGGCTCTTCATAATGTAAAGAAAGGGTAAACCATAAAATACAATGACATAGGCTACTGTACAAGGCCTAAAGCTTTCAAACTTATCAACATTATGCTTTTCTTCAAGTTTCAGTAACCCTAAGCAACACTAAATCGGCTACAAATCACACATTCATGTTTTTACAAACTGTGAACATTAGAGCTTATTCTGAAACTCATATCAAAACGATAAACGTTTTTTTCAAGGGGAATATACAAAAGAGTTCCGTCATTTGTCCGAATTGACATTCTCTGGTCGTTTGGATTACCTTTGGATTACCTTTGGATTAACAGAACTGTGTGTTCTGCTTTTTCAGTCCATAATGTCTATGATACTGAAGGTTATGTGAAATAAGATTAAATTGTGTTTTATATGAATGAGCAGCCTAAAGAGACTGCATCTTTAAGAATTAAGACCGGGACGTCCATTATAGAAACCAAAAGATATTCGCGAAAGGATAGGTTTACAATCTGATTTCAAACGAATTTGGGGAACAAAATAATGTAACTATATACTGCAGAATTGTAAACGTAATATGATTTATAAATAGCCTACCATTCTTGAATGGCTCTGGTTGCTTCGTTGTTTTCAAGTAGGTAAGACGGGCTTCCTGATCCCTATTTCAACAACTTCTGCTCAGCATTGAATACAACGTACACAATATCCCCGCACCGCCCTCATTGACCGTTAGAGACATCAAACATAATCCAGAGCTGAGTGCTCTTCCGCCAGTCTCCAGTTTACAAAAGCGGCATTACTCCAACTTTAAATTTAGAATAGCCTACTCCAAAATGCATAAGCAAAAAAACATGGCTTCATTTGCCTTTGTCAGCCAGAATACGTAATATTGCCTTACCTTTCGCTCATGGGCCATTGTTCACCCCTCCCCCATACTCTGACATCACCATAGCAAACCCCACAACATAGGCTAAGAGGGGCAGGGCTTCGGGTACTCCGGTAATTTTTTTAAATCAGTTATCATGCTACATCAATCATAAATTATCTGTAGACTCGACACCCTCAATCAACATCAGCATCGAGGTAAATCTAAGCACAGTGCAAGGATCTTGAAGAGTTCAGCGTCCCGGACAGCGCTCGGGTGGCGCGTGCCTTAGTTTCAGCACCATGGACAGTAGCTAGACCACTGCTAAAACGGCCGTCCATGAACATGACATTTGGCCTTATAAATGTGGTAATTACTCTCACAGCTCAATATAAACCACTTTCCAATGCACACCGATAGAAAACTCTTCAAAGTTAACTTCAAAAGCCGATGTTTTGTTCATTTAACAATTTATTCGAATTGCATGGCGTCTGTTGTAAACAAACTCTTCGTAGCACTTTGTGTAGGCCTACATCATCCAAAGTATCAAACGAAAAACTTTTGTTTTGATGAAAATAATATAATGTAACGCAAAAAAATAATGAATTAGAACAAGGTTTAAATATTTGTTAATAAATGCTAACATAACCATGAATATATGACCATAATCTAATTCTAATAATTAAATCATGCAGCCTATGCCTATACAAATGTGGAAACCCAATCAGTAACTTAAACAAAACGAATAGGCTATAATAAATGACTAGTATACACTTTTGAGTGAATGTAACTAAATGTTTTTACTTATTGGGCATAGGTCTATAGCCTAGCAGGCCTAGTCTATACCCATCAGACGTCCGGTTGCAAAACTAGAAACAATTATCCAAATTTTGGCACTGTTAAAGCTGGAGCAACTTCGAAAGAGTTTTGCATATTTAAAGAGACACCTCCTCTTCGGTTACCAGCTGGGACCTTTTTCTCCCCCATCTAATCTCAGGCACTTCTTAAAGCCCCAGTGCAGATGGACAGCCCTGCTCTGGAATACAATTAGCTTCGGATCTGCTGTGACTGGGACGGGCTGTATAAATATTACATAGGGGGCGACCGACGAGAGGGTAGGCTACACTTTCGACTCCCCACCAACAGATGGACCAATCTGACAGACTCCCCCACCCCGCACAAAACTTTTTTAATACGCCTGCAGCCTGACGTCTCCTGTACAGAGTTAAGAACCACTAATCCCTGAAGGGACACAACTTTCCTTTGTCTAACAAAGTGTCTGGACGGAATGTGAGTTCAGGAAATCTTTGGTCAGCACAAAGGGCCTTGTGTGGTTAGGATTCAACATTGTTTTTCTGTTGATATCATTTCGGTCATGCAGGCTACAGAAACACTTTTCATAAACAACTGAAAATCAGCAACTGTGCAATAAAAAATAAAAACATTTCATTGACCTTGTCGACTAGTTTATAGAGTGGTGAGGAGACGTAGCTCAGTTGGTAGAGCATGGCTCTTGCAACGTCAGGGTTGTGGGTTCGATTCCCACGGGGGCCAGTATGAAAAATATGATAGTCAGTTTAAAAAAGGTTAAGGGTACAAGCAGTGGTGTAGTGCCATTTTTATTTATTTATTACATCATCATTTCTCAATCAAAGTTTGTACTGACAGATGTAGCATTGAATATTATCAGCCTATAGAATATGCATAAAATGTATCCTCCAATTGCAATGTCTGCCTATACCCCCACATATTGTCTCAAGAAATGTTCTATGTTTAATACCCTCAAACACCAAGTTAGGCATACCTACCTAATTTCAAAATAGGACATCATCACTGTCAATTATAATTCTTCACGTTTGCCCAAACTGCGTCTGCACCATCAGTTTCATGAGAATATGAATTTACATTACTGTTTCGTGAGCAAGTTAGAGCAGATGGTGTTAACAAACAAATCAAAGCATGTATCTTATCTACTGGCGTGCGCTGTTGAGCTTTGGCCGCATGAGAAAAGAAACTCAGCTTCAGTTAACTATCCTAAAATCTCACTAGAAACGAGGAGGTGCTTTTGGTGTAACAGTAATGTTACAGGCCTCCTATGCTATTATTATATTCGGTTCTGTTATGTAAAATACTAATTCATCATTAGCCTACGTGATCAAGCGGGACATTGATTCAGCTTCAGAAATAGGCTAATTTTCCAGATTTTTTTTTTACCAGCTCGGGGTATTGTCAAATTGAAAAAGGTGAGGGTCGCGCTCTGGCCGCGCTTCATCCCTGGGTACAAGACTGTGTAGGCATACATAGATGGATGTGTTGGCAAAATCACTACATATCCCATCGAGCCAAGCGGGGCGAGGTTGCCCGTTCTCACAGTTCCTACAGTCAGAAACGCCGGTGGATGTCAAAACTGAACTTGGATCCGCTTTAAGTACCAACGATATCCTTCGCCACCGTCGTTTTACAACAAACAATACAACAATAAATAATTTAAGTTTACTTCCAGCGAATTTTTTTGTTACATGACTGTATAAGTGTATGAAGTTTGGCAATGAGGACGAAAACTAGCATAGTTCAGCTAGCCAGCTAGTTTAGCCAGGGAAAACGGACGTCACTAGTTACCACAGCCACAAAGTCATAAACCCTATTTACAATGTATCTTCTTAAAATCTGATTTCAAACCTAACCCTAACTTTAACACTAACCTCACTGCGTGTTAACCGTATACCTAACCCTAACCTTAAATTAAGACCAAAAAGCAAATTTTTGTTTTCCTGAATATTTACGATAGAGACAAATTTGATTTTGTGGCTGTGGTAACTATTGGAAACCAGGGAAAAGCAGAGAAATGGCTCGGCCTTAGTGCACATGTGTGCCTAGCTGGGCTAATTCAGGAGACAGATTGTAGTTGTTATGCCCTGATATCAGGAGCTGGAGGCGAAAAGTTTGATTAAACAATTCAGACACTGAAACAAATATATCAGATTACTTATATTATTTAAGGCAAGTGAATCAATATACAATCCTGAAATCAGCTGTAACTGTCAATACTAAAACAAAGCTTAAAACATGTTTGAGTGAACCCTGAATACAGAAACTATAAGGTGAAGTCGCTTCCTGACATGGTAGACTCCTCCTCCTCACTACTCTATTGCTGCCATACATTTTGGGTGAAAATTACATTGTGTAAATAGAGTTCATGAGTTATTGCAAATAAAATACAAAGCAGTCACCTGGACATAATTAGACTATGTTTAAATAAAGTTGATGCCACCTGTTTGTGTCTAGTATGCCTAGTGGCTGGAAGATGCTAGCCTATAGATGGGTTAGCTGACAACATCACGAAATTGATGTGCAGGCTTCCATGGGGCAGAAGTCAGCATGTTGTTGTGATTCTTGGATGGCCAAATTGCTAGCAAGAATGACAAACTGCCATGTGGGGAATTGGCTCGTTTCCTCTTGTTCTTGATATCATCATGTCTTGTTTTGAGGTGTTATGACTGAAAATCGCTAGGTAGCTAACCAACAGCTGTAACGTATTCGTGAGACTACAAGTGCCCATTGTGCAAATGTATTTAGGTTTTCAATAAATATTGGAGACTAAATATAGGCTAGTTTACATGTTGCCAACATTCTAAGCCAACCCCGTCTTTTTTTCCCCCATAGTTCCTCACAAGTCGGTTTTGTTGCTAAACAACCAACCCGTTTATCTATCCTAGTGATAAGCCAATGCAAATACTGACACTTTCCTTACAATCAATGGGCTACTGTGTCTTTAAATTAGGCACTTGGCTACACAGTTTACGAAATTAACAAATTAGTATAGGTTTAAACATCTATAGCCTATATCAAATAATGCAGCATAAACAGACTATAAGATAATTCAAATTCTTGAATAAAAGACATGCAAAAGAGCAAGTCCTATCCTAACAGACAAATAAGTGAACGATGCTCAGACCGTCACTTCTGCTCCTAACCTGAGTTCAGTTAGCCATCAACACATAGTTTACCGAAGAGAGAGAGAGAAACAGATAATCCATAGGCTACTCACCTAAAAACGTTTTACACAGCTTCATCTTCATCTTTGCGGTGAAATGTCGCTTTGCACACCGCTTCCAAACACAAGCAACTTTACTTCATACTAGATAAAGTTGGGTAGAGAAACGTATCAGTCGGAGAGGGGGTATTGGGTAGCTGTCGGGTTGAACCAATCAGAGGCCACCGGTCCTGTTATTGTTTCCTAAAACAGCCAATGAGAGCGGCGCACACTGTCAGCGTTCCAAAACAATGCTCATTGAAAAGGAACACAAAGGGGTCGCGGACCACATGAAGTCACAAATCTAATCCAACTTCTTCCCTTTCTCTCATTGCAACTCCTCAAATATGCTTGAGCTTTCAAAGTGTCACTGAAAACAGTGGTGTAAAGTACTTAAGTAAAAATACTTTAAAGTACTACTTAAGTAGTGTTTTGGGGTATCTGTACTTTACTATTTATATTTTTGACTACTTTTACTTTTACTCCACTACATACCAAAATAAAATTGCATACATTTTACCTGACACGCAAAAGTACTCGTTACATTTGCAATGCTTAGCAGGACAGGGAAATGGTCCAATTCATACACTTATCAAGATAACATCCCTCCCTGGTCATCCCTACTGCCTCTGATCTGGCGGACTTACTAAACACACATGCTTCTTTTGTAAATTATGTCTAAGTGTTGGAGTGTGCCCCTTGCTATCCGTAAATTTAAAAAAAACTACCAAAATGGTGCTGTCTGGTTTGCTTAATATAAGGAATTTGAAATGTATACTTTTACTTATGATACTTAAGTATATTTTAGCAATTACATTTACTTTTGATACTTAAGTATATTTAAAGCTAAATACTTTTAGACTTTTACTCAAGTAGTATTTTACTGGGTGACTTTCACTTTTACTTGAGTCATTTTCTATTAAGGTATCTTTACTTTTACTCAAGTATGACAATTGTGTACTTTTTCCACCACTGACTGAAAGGAAGCTTTCATTTCTTAGAATGCCTTCCTCAGAATCGTATTAGCAGGTGACCCTACCAATTTTTTTGCAATATGTAATGAAACTGATGAATATACTGTAGTGTGCAAAAATGCACAATCAGATTAATTTAGTCAATAAAATAATGTTGGTAGCACTTGTGGTTATAACATGGCAATAGTGTGGAACAAGTTATAGGTAAAGTAGGCCTACTCATAGGTTAATACAAATTCAGATAGCCTGCCCTATACCCTTAAATTCAGTGTAGTTATGTTCTTCTTTCAAGGTTGTTGAAATTAGGGATGACAAACCTCAATCACTGAGTTCTAGTCAAGGTTTGAAAGGTATATCAATCAGTTACTGACAAATCAATCAAGGACCTTTCTCAGACACATGCCTACCATTTGAAACACTGTAGCCTGACTGTCATCTACAAACGCCATCTCTTTCTTACTTGCTTTCCATTCTCTCGTTGTTTTCAACTCTCTCCACACACCTCTGTCTGTCATCTCTGTGTCTTTTTGGTCCTTCTCCTCTCCCTGTAGGTGCAACATATGTCCTTCTTCTGTGAGTTGAGACAGAGCGCCCCCCCCCATAGACCCCTATGACAGATGGCCTGCAGATATTGATGACTGCAGGTTGCAGCCCCCCTTCCCCCACCTCCTTTCTGACAGGGCTTCTGGTTGTTATCAAGGCATTCTGCCGGCTCAAACTTTTGAGAGTTGAGACATGTATTGCTGAGACCTGATTATGATTACCTTGAAATCAACTTTTTAATATTTAGCGTTTTTCATAAATTGTTTTATTTTGTAGTAAATAAACTGTATTTATGTTTTTCATTAATATACTTTTTTTTTTAAAACCTGATGCTGTATGGGCTTATGGATGGGAGCTGTGAGGAGGCTTGATGACTGATGGCCAAGTTCTGTTGTACTGCACGCACATGCACCCCCTGCCCCATGCACACACACTCATGTTAGAGTCTGATTACAATAACAAAGGCTGCTCACACTTTGGGGTGGAGCCAGCAGGATGGTTTCCAGGCCATTGAGCATGAGGCTGCTTAATGAGCACCCTGTGTGTTTGTGTGTGTGTGTGCGTGTGTATGTGAATAGTGATAAAAAGGCCCTTTGCCACAGCTGTCACTCTTCAGAGTAATATCATTCTAGTCTTTCTAAATTTACTGTAAAAAGAAGGACTGCATCAATATCCCTGCAACAATTCAATAATTATTTTTAAAAAATAAAACAGAGTATTTTAAAATGTCTGTTTTTGGATTTTGTGCATAGGAATCTATGAAGTGACTCAAAGTTGGAAGACTGTTGTGGTACCATGTGGTAAACACAAACCTACATTCGGATAAGAATATAACAAGAATGTCAAATGTTCTGTTCGTAAAAAATGCATCACACTTAAAATGCCAAAATATTGATGACATATTTGGAGTTGTTAGAGAACCACAATCAAGAGGAGTGTTCACCTATGGTTTTGCTCTCAAAGCTTTAGTAGTGTGTGGATAGTATTTTGCCAAGCCTTGCCAAATAAGCTTAGCAGATGTCCAAAAGTATAGGTTCACTTTTTTGGGGGCCATGAATATGACAACGTGCCAATAGTCCTCTTTTTATTTTATTTTATTCATCCCTCAACTTCCCAATAAGACAATTTGCCTTCTTCTCTAGTCTAGATGTTCATGCCACCTGCCCTCATACACCCTTCCACCCAGCTCAGTACCCCCCTCCCCCGACCCCACTCTGCACCCCTATTCACACCCCCCTACTCACTTTCTGTTCTCCTGATCATTTTTGTTTCTTGCCCCCGGCAATACAGCAGCCCCCATTCCCCCGCTTAAGGAAAAATATAAAATCTACCTGCAGACTGCTCAAGCCCAGACATTATGACTGTTGGACTAGACATCCTCAAAGATTGATTGACACCGGCCCACCCTCCGAAGTATCCATGGTAATTTGAATTCCACATTCCTGTCGCCATGGCGCAGGACCAAATTACTGGGTGTATAGGCCATCAGGCACCCGTAGCTCGGTAACCAGGGGTGCTGATACCCCCCCCCCCCTCTCATCCAACTAGCTGGGCTGAGTTGGCATCTGTATGTATCCAAATAACCTTAATGGTATATAGATCATGTATGGAGGGTGAGGGGATGTATGGACTCCCCCATACTTATGCACTAAGAGGTCAATTGTGTGACATTATAACCAGCTTTCTATGGCTGTCATCCAGAGTGGCAAAGCCCTTGCAATTGACATTTTTAAGATATTGATTATGAAATTGTTACAAATGAAAAAAATACTTAAATGAGTCAATCTGCGTACATTACCCAGTGAGAACATCTTTGAAACAGTAGTTCATAACTGGAATTTCTGTGCGTTTGTTATTAAGTTGTTTCGACAGCAGGTAGCCTAGCGGTTAAGAGCGTCGGACCAGTAACCGAAAGGTTTCTGGTTTAAATCCCCAAGCCGACTAAGTGAAAAATCTGTCGATGTGCCCTTGAGCAAGGCACTTAACCAAAATTGCTCCTGTAAGTCGCTCTGGATAAGAGCTTCTGCTACATGAATAACATTTATGTTTCCCCATGCATGTTCCGAATTTTTTATAAATAACACAATAAAACAACACAGTATTTGTTATGAAATATGAAATGAAATGAAATATATGAAATCATACAATGTTTTCATATACAGGATTATAATGGGTGGACAAATGTTTGTCTAGACTCGCACAGATTGAGGAAATTAATTAATGCTTTCAAAAATGTTTAATGTTATACAATAATGTACCATTTGAAACACTGTAGCCTGTCTTCTGATCATAACTCACTTTCCACAATTTCCTGATGTAGTTTTTCCTCTGGTTTGACCCCTTGAGGTTACAGGGAAACAGTACACTCCTCCCAGAGTGCTGGGGGCACTGGGCAGCACTTCCAGGTCATGCTCTGGTTGAGTAGAGAGAAGCACTGTCACGAAGGGCAGCCGCACTGGTATTTCTTTGAAACCTGCCTGACCACACAGAGGTGCATGGTAACAGAGGTTGCCACCCCGGGGGGCTTTTCTTTCTCCTCCAGTGTGAGCTCAGGTGTTGGAACAGGGCTGACCTCTTGAAGAGAATGAAAGGGCTGCTTGATTATTTACTGGAGTTGAATGTGCCACATGTGCCTCTCTCCCAAGGGGTGAGGGAGACACTGCCAACATAGAACAACTCAATTAAACAACCCTAATAATCACATATGGCCTGCTTATAATTGATTACATATTGCATGAGCAACAGGCTTAAAGATATATTATTTCAGTATACACTACCGGTCAAAACGTTTAGAACACCTACTCATTCAAGGGTTTTTCTTTATTTTTACTATTTTCTACATTGTAGAATAATAGTGAAGACATCAACACTATGAAATAACACATATGGAATCATGTAGTAACCAAAGAAGTGTTAAACAAATCAAAATATAATATATTTGAGATTCTTCAAATAGCCACCCTTTGCCTTGATGGCAGCTTTGCACACTCTCTCAACCAGCTTCACCTGGAATACTTTTCCAACAGTCTTGAAGGAGTTCCCACCTAGTGCTGCTTGAAAGTATGTGAACCCTACAGGGCTGGTCATTATTTTGCTATAAAATATAAAAAAATAAACATAAAAAATCCTTATCTAAACCCCAATTCGTAATAAAGACATTCCAAGTAAATGACAGAAACAAAAAAATATGATTTTGTCATTGTTTATTTAACAAAAGTGGTTTATTTAACAGAAACTCAGATTTGATATTGTCACGATCGTCGACTGAAGACACCATACGAACAAAACAAACGATACGTGAAGTCCTAGGTTAATACAAAACAAACCTTATGGAACAAGATCCCACAAAGACTAGTGCAAAACAGGCTGCCTAAGTATGGTCCCCAATCAGAGACAACGAGCTACAGCTGCCTCTGATTGGGAACCACCCTGGCCAACATAGATCTAAACGATCTAGAACAAAACATAGAAAACTATAACATAGAAAATCCACACCCTGGCTCAACATTTAATAGTCCCCAGAGCCAGGGCGTGACAGTACCCCCCCCCCCCCCCCCCCCCCCCCCCCAAAGGCGCGGACTGCGACCGCGCCACACAAACACAAGAGGGCAGGGGCCGGGTGGGCGTGACCACCACTCTCTCTCCACCCCCCCGTTGCGCCCCTGGTCTGGTCTGGCCCCGCTGGCCGGAGCTGGACTGGACACCGGTGGAGCGGATTGCTCTGGCTCCGGAGTGGAGCAGCTGACCGGTGCCGGACCAGGCACTGGTGGAACAGGCACGGGCCGTGCCGGACTGGACACACGCACCACTGGCTTGGTGCGGGGAGCAGGAACGGGCTGGACCGGGCTGACGACGCGCACCACTGGCTTGGTGCTGGGAGCAGGAACAGGCCGGACCGGGCTGACGACGCGCACCACTGGCTTGGTGCGGGGAGCAGGAACGGGCCGGACTGGGCTGACGACGCACACCACTGTCTTGGTGCGGGGAGCAGGAACGGGCCGGACCGGGCTGACGACGCGCACCACTGGCTTGGTGCGGGGAGCAGGAACGGGCCGGACCGGGCTGGCGACGCGCACCACTGGCTTGGTGCGGGGAGCAGGAACGGGCCGGACCGGGCTGACGACGCGCACCACTGGCTTGGTGCGAGGGACAGGAACAGGCCGGACCGGGCTGGCGACGCGCACCACTGGCTTGGTGCGAGGGACAGGAACAGGCCGGACCGGGCTGGCGACGCGCACCACTGGCTTGGTGCGTGGGACAGGAACAGGCCGGACCGGGCTGGCGACGCGCACCACTGGTTTGGTGCGAGGGGCAGGAACAGGCCGGACCGGGCTGGCGACGCGCACCACTGGCTTGGTGCGGGGAGCAGGAACAGGCCGGACCGGGCTGGCGACGCGCACCACTGGCTTGGTGCGAGGAACAGGAACAGGCCGGACCGGGCTGGCGACGCGCACCACTGGCTTGGTGCGAGGGACAGGCACAGGCCGGACCGGGCTGGCGACGCGCACCACTGGCTTGGTGCGAGGGACAGGAACAGGCCGGACCGGGCTGGCGACGCGCACCACTGGCTTGGTGCGAGGGACAGGAACAGGCCGGACCGGGCTGGCGACGCGCACCACTGGCTTGGTGCGAGGGACAGGAACAGGCCGGACCGGGCTGGCGACGCGCACCACTGGCTTGGTGCGTGGGACAGGACGTACAGGGCTGTGCACTTGTACTGGCGCTACAGCACGTGGCACTGGCGCAGGATATCCGGGACCGAGGAGGGGTACTGGAGGCCACGAGCGTTGAGCCGGCACACCCCGTCCTGGCTGCATGCCCACCTTAGCACGACACGTGCGTGGTGCTAGCACAGGACGTACAGGACTGTGCCGGAACACTCGCGGCACAGTACGTGGCTCCGCATAACACGGAGCCTGCCCACTCTCACGCTTCCTAGCCCGAGTACGGGGAGTTGGCTCTGCTCTACCTCTAGGCTCCGCCAACCACCCTTTTAGCCCCCCCAAAAACATTTCTTGGGGCTGTCTCTCTGGCTTCCTCCTCGGCCGGTACCCTCTGCGTTGCCGCTGCTCCTCTCTGTAGCGCGCCTCCACAGTCTCCTATCCTGCCTGGGCATTCACCTTTGCCCATGGCCCTTTGCCCGCGAATATCTCCTCCCAAGACCACCATTTGCCCACCTGGGACATCGCCATCTTCTCCTCCTGGGC